ATATGCTAATATCAGAAGTACAAATATGCTAATATCACAATACAAATATTATACAATCTAATATCCATAACCGGCAATACCAATACAATACCAATATCACAATTGGCTAAGTTTCACACAAACTTCACTTTCTCGGTTGGCCAAGGTACAACTGAACCTACTGCATCAGAAATGAATACAAACTCTGAATTTGGCCTCCAGACCTTTGCATTACCAATCTTAATCAAATCTACAGAGACCTTGCTTGCATTTGGACCGAGGGGCACATTATGGCACTTATCTTCTGGATCTGTTGACATCACTGTTCCTTCAGCTACAATACGACCAGAATTGTTGCAGTCTAAAAGAACACACTTCTGCTTTGGACTTTTGGTGGAACTATTGCTGCCTGGACTCTACAACTCAAAGCAAATAATAGAAGCAAGTTCCAACATCAATGAAAGTCCCAACATCAATCAACAGACAAACAAATGAAAAACTTAATTTCAATAACATACCACTGATTTAGTTAGTGTTGGTTCTAGAGTGGCTGTAGCCGTGACATCAATCTTTAGGACTGGCCATGCGATTTTTTCATGAATTGCTTCACCAATTACACTAATATCAGCAGTTGGCCTCCACAAAGGAGCATTAAAATTGAACACCTTCACAACTTGAAGACTAACAGCACCCGGACCTAGAGGAATATTGTTAACCCTCTCTTTGGAGTTAGATGAGCACACGATACCTTCAGCAATAAGCTCATCATTCTCTATATTTTCCCGATCAAATATTTTGCAGCTTCGAGTTTCACCTTCCTTGTTTGGCTAAAATGTAAGAGGCTAATGATTAGATATATATCAATTCACCAAAAGAAAATGATATTGGAATTTAAAACTTTACCCCTAAGGATACATCTTCAGAAGTGAATGGAACCCTAAGCACTTTGTCCATTGGCCAAGATATTTTGCATCCAACAGCTTCCTTAAGATATAACACATCTGATGTAGGCCTCCAGAGAGAAGCTGTTGAGCTTAGTACAGAACTAACAATGACAGCCACTGCATTAGGACCAATTGGTACACGACCAATTTTGTACATCGGTTCATCAGAACAGAATTCTCCTTCACCAACAACTACTTCTCTTGAATGAATCCAATCCAGTAGTTGTACTCTATCTCCTACTTTGAATACACCACTACTCTCACATGTTTCAGTCTCACAATAACTTTTCTGAGATAAGGAAAAGGAATTTTGTTAATGTCTTAAAACCAGACCAATTGACTAAATGTAATGAAAAGGATTACCTTCTTTCCAGCTAAGTCTCTAAACATTCCCTTCAACTCATCAATCTCACTTTTCATTTCTGCCATTTTTGCGTCTCTAGCTTGCATAAACGCTAACTTAGTAGCCGTGATCCCTCTACCAAACCCCCTTACTCGTCCAGGTTTGTCTTTTCCCAAAATCTGGCTCACAGCATCTTCCCTTATGTTATCAGCAGCTGATGTAGAGTCCATTTCACTATCAAGTGATTGTATTTGTTTCTGAGACAAACATTCAAACACAATATTAAAACTCATTGATCATGATGCATTACTTACACACAATATAACAAGTTCCAGAATTCTTACAATAGTCTCAGCAAATTGAGGCTTCACAGGTCTACCATCAG